GGTGGCCGTGGCTGTCGTGGTTTTGGCCGTGGCTGTGGTGGCCGTGCCGCTGGCCATTGTGGCCGTGGCCGTGGTGGCCGTGGCCGTGTGGCGTGATCGTGGTAGATGTGGTGGGTGGCAGTGGCCGTGGCCGTGGTGGCCGTGGCCGTGCTGGCCCTGGCTGTGGCGGCCGTGTTGGCCGTGGCCGTGTTGGCCGTGGCCGTGGTAGCCGTGGCCGTGCCGTGGTCGTGGTGGCCGTGGCCGTGGCGGCTGTGGCCGTGATTGCCGTGGCCGTGGTGGCTGTGACCGTGGTGGCCGTGGCCCTGGTGGGCGGGGCCGGCCGTGGTTGTTGCCGTGGCCGTGGTGGCCGTGGTGGCCGTGGTGGTCGTGGCCGTGGTGGCCGTGGCCGTGGTGGTTGTGGCCGTGGTGGCCGTGGTGGCCGTGGCCGTGGTGGCCGCGGCCGTGGTGGCTGTGGCCGTGGCCGTGGTGGCCGTGGTCGTGTGACCGTGGTGGCCGTGGCCGTGGTGGCCGTGGCCGTGGTGGCCGTGGCCGTGGTTGCCGTGGCCGTGGTGGCCGTGGCCGTGGTGGCCGTGGCCGCGGTGGCCGTGGGCGTGGTGGCCGCGGGCGTGGTGGCCGTGGGCGTGGTGGCCGTGGGCGTGGTGGCCGTGGCCGTGGTTGTGGCCGTGGCCGTGGTCGTGTTCTCCTGCTCCTCCCTCCTCCTTCCCCCCCAATCCTCAGAGGGCCTGTGGGCTAGCTCCACAAAGCGTCTTGATGAGCACCACCTTTGCGTCGCCCATTAAGACGTTGTAGTTTTCCGCAAGGAATGCCGGCCAGGCGTTCTAGTGCTCGCACACCAACGCTACCATGGGTTGGTGGCCTCTGTGTCGACTCCCACGGATGCAAGCGAGGCCAAGAAAAGCCGCGGGTGGCAGCAGGGCGCGTCCGCCTCCGCGTAGTCTTTCCCGAATGCCGCCCTCTTGGCTTCTCTCGTCAGCTTCTGGCCGGCGGGGCCCTCGGCGAACGGGCGGGCATGCGGGAGGGCGCGGCCGTGCCCCACCTCGGCGGCTGGGGCGCCCTTGGCCGCCACTTCCGCCTCGCGCCGCTAGATGCGCGCGTCGAGCATGCCCTGCCGCCGATCAGTGCCTGTGGCGGCATGGCCCTTCAACCTGCAAGATCTGGGAACTCCATGGCCGCTGCGCGATCCGCCGCGGGCCCGCGCGCAGCCCAAGGCGCGCGAGGCTCGACCTGTTCCAGCGATTCCAATATCATCTGGTACCACTCCACGGCGCCCTCGGTAGTCCAGTCCCTCAAGCTGTCCAAGTGAGTCCACGGGCATCCCAAACCCGCCCAAGTAGCAAAGACCGCCGCCCCGCCGTGTTTGTCGACCAGCTCAATCATGCGGGAGTAGTTCATCTGCCACTTCTTCACGACGTTAGCGCCAGACTGGCGAAACAGCGGGAGCTGCGCGTTCTCGATCGCCTCCGCGAGGTTCTCGAACTTGGTGCGTTTCCTTTTGTGGGCGCCGGTCGCACCTGGGAGGGGCGATACCGTGGATGTAAAGAATTAACGCGAAACCCATCCGTAACATTGAATTCCGCCATTCAAAGATATGGAACGCAAGCTAGGCATGAACGGACCCGGGTTGAAAAAAGTGTTTCCGTGTTTCGCGTTTATTGTTTACATTTTCGCGGGCAGCTGCCGATCTTGCCCTACCTGGAACTCGCGGCCTTTGAATGGCGAAATCCAATGTTATGAATAATTTCGCGTTTATTGTTTACATCCACGGCCTTCCAGCAACGCTAACTTAGTATCCCTTATGCGCTACTTACGTGATCTTGAATAAACGAATCGTAGCCAGCGTGGCCCACGAACGCCGATGTCTTGCAATCCACGCGGTGCAATCTAGGCGGTGCGACGCATGCTATGCAACCTAGGTGGCGCGAGCCACGCGGTGCAGTTCATGCAACGCACAGCAACGCCAAGCAACGCTAAGCAATGCAAAGCAACGCAAAGCAAATCACAAAATGGCCTAGAGTTGGCTCCGCGCACCCAAGATGTGGCCTGGGAATGGTGTTTTGGGAACACGAAGAGCACAAAGTGGCCTACAGTTGGCTCCGGGCATTCACGATGTGGCCTGGGAATGGTGTTCTGGCAAGATGCATCGTGATTCCGGGCAAGAGTTTCGCACTTTCCAACGTTATGATTTTGTGCGTCCTAGCCTGGCTAGGACGAAACGAACATGAAAGCCACGAAGTGCGATAGGGTTACAACTTTCCAACGTTACGAATGCCTTTTTGGAGCTCTGGTGCAAGACTTCCTCACAAAAGCGATGCCGTTCGTAACGTTGAAGTTTCTTGAATAAAGAATAATTGAATATTCTTATTTAAGCGTTTTGAACGTTACGAACGGCGTCGTTTTTGTAGGAAGTCTTGCACCAGAGCTCCAAAAAGGCATTCGTAACGTTGGAAAGTTGCAACCCTATCGCACTTCGTGGCTTTCATGTTCGTTTCGTCCTAGCCAGGCTAAGACACAACAAATCATAACGTTGGAAAGTGTGAAACTCTTGCCCGGAATCACGATGCATCTTGCCAGAACACCATTCCCAGGCCACATCTTAAGTGCCCGGAACCAACTGTAGGCCACTTTGTACTCTTCGCGTTCCCAGAACACCACTCCCAGGCCACATCTTGGGTGACCGGAGCCAACTCTAGGCCATTTTGTGCTTTGCTTTGCGTTGCTTTGCATTGCTGAGACCCCTGATGAGACCTGCGACACCTGTCGGTCCTGTGGGACCTGCGAGACCTGCGAAACTTGTGGGACCTGTGAGACCTACGACACCCGAGGAGCTTGCAACACCTGTGGGACCTGGGGGACCCCTGTGGCCTGTGGGACCCGTGGGACCTGCAAGACCTGTGGGACCGGTGGGACCCGCAACACATGTGGGACCTGCGGAACCAGTGGGACTTGTCGGACCTGCGACACCCGTGGGACCTGGGGGTCGTCTGTGGTCCGTGGAACCCTGTGGGACGCCTGGGAGCCAGCCGAAGCAACGCGTGAATGCGGCAGGCATTTGAGGGTGGCAAAAGCGAAGTGTGTCGGGAAATGTGCGAGCTTAGCGTAGTCTTGGGGCCCGTAACAGCGTAGTCTTGGGGCCCGTAACAAAATGGCAGCCGTGGATGTAAAGAATTAACGCGAAACCCATCCGTAACATTGAATTCCGCCATTCAAAGATATGGAACGCAAGCTAGGCATGAACGGCCCCAGGTTGAAAAAAGTGTTTCCGTGTTTCGCGTTTATTGTTTACATTTTCGCGGGCAGCTGCCGATCTTGCCCTACCTGGAACTCGCGGCCTTTGAATGGCGAAATCCAATGTTATGAATAATTTCGCGTTTATTGTTTACATCCACGGCCTTCCAGCAACGCTAACTTAGTATCCCTTATGCGCTACTTACGTGATCTTGAATAAACGAATCGTAGCCAGCGTGGCCCACGAACGCCGATGTCTTGCAATCCACGCGGTGCAATCTAGGCGGTGCGACGCATGCTATGCAACCTAGGTGGCGCGAGCCACGCGGTGCAGTTCATGCAACGCACAGCAACGCCAAGCAACGCTAAGCAATGCAAAGCAACGCAAAGCAAATCACAAAATGGCCTAGAGTTGGCTCCGCGCACCCAAGATGTGGCCTGGGAATGGTGTTTTGGGAACACGAAGAGCACAAAGTGGCCTACAGTTGGCTCCGGGCATTCACGATGTGGCCTGGGAATGGTGTTCTGGCAAGATGCATCGTGATTCCGGGCAAGAGTTTCGCACTTTCCAACGTTATGATTTTTGCGTCCTAGCCTGGCTAGGACGAAACGAACATGAAAGCCACGAAGTGCGATAGGGTTACAACTTTCCAACGTTACGAATGCCTTTTTGGAGCTCTGGTGCAAGACTTCCTCACAAAAACGACGCCGTTCGTAACGTTGAAGTTTCTTGAATAAAGAATAATTGAATATTCTTATTTAAGCGTTTTGAACGTTACGAACGGCGTCGTTTTTGCTAGGAAGTCTTGCACCAGAGCTCCAAAAAGGCATTCGTAACGTTGGAAAGTTGCAACCCTATCGCACTTCGTGGCTTTCATGTTCGTTTCGTCCTAGCCAGGCTAGGACACAACAAATCATAACGTTGGAAAGTGTGAAACTCTTGCCCGGAATCACGATGCATCTTGCCAGAACACCACTCCCAGGCCACATCGTAAGTGCCCGGAGCCAACTGTAGGCCACTTTGTGCTCTTCGCGTTCCCAGAACACCACTCCCAGGCCACATCTTGGGTGACCGGAGCCAACTCTAGGCCATTTTGTGCTTTGCTTTGCGTTGCTTTGCATTGCTGAGACCCCTGATGAGACCTGCGACACCTGTCGGTCCTGTGGGACCTGCGAGACCTGCGAAACTTGTGGGACCTGTGAGACCTACGACACCCGAGGAGCTTGCAACACCTGTGGGACCTGGGGGACCCCTGTGGCCTGTGGGACCCGTGGGACCTGCAAGACCTGTGGGACCGGTGGGACCCGCAACACATGTGGGACCTGCGGAACCAGTGGGACTTGTCGGACCTGCGACACCCGTGGGTCCTGGGGGTCGTCTGTGGTCCGTGGAACCCTGTGGGACGCCTGGGAGCCAGCCGAAGCAACGCGTGAATGCGGCAGGCATTCGAGGGTGGCAAAAGCGAAGTGTGTCGGGAAATGTGCGAGCTTAGCGTAGTCTTGGGGCCCGTAACAGCGTAGTCTTGGGGCCCGTAACAAAATGGCAGCCGTGGATGTAAAGAATTAACGCGAAACCCATCCGTAACATTGAATTCCGCCATTCAAAGATATGGAACGCAAGCTAGGCATGAACGGACCCAGGTTGAAAAAAGTGTTTCCGTGTTTCGCGTTTATTGTTTACATTTTCGCGGGCAGCTGCCGATCTTGCCCTACCTGGAACTCGCGGCCTTTGAATGGCGGAATCCAATGTTATGAATAATGTTCGCGTTTATTGTTTACATCCACGGTAATTTGTTGATCACGTACTCCTTGATGAAGGGGCGCATGGGCGTGCCCGCATGAGCGTCCGCGATGATCTTGTCGTATGCGTCGGCCCTGCCGTCATTATCCCCAGGGGGCGGCTCCTTGCTGCGCGACAGGCAGCGGGCAATCCACTCTGTATTGTCGAACAGCCGCTGGCTGACGGACTTCATGTCGTTGATCATGGTCTTGACGTCGGTCTCGGTGTGCTTGAGGAAGAAGGGTATGCACCAGACCCGCAGGAAGGGGACGGCGGTGAAAGGATGACTGAGGAAGTCCTCCAGTTCGTCCCGGGGGATTTTCTTGAAACGCCCCTCTGCCTCGTTGACGTCCTTGTCGTGCACAACGTACGTCGCCTTGCCCATGCGGCAGCACACGACGCGGCGGCTGAGCTGCGCTAGGACCTTCGCGCCTCCGCCCGCGTCGTCGATCACGTGGATGTTTTCAAAGTTCAGCTTCTGGTCCTTCATTGACTCCCCGAACTTGAGCGTCTCCGTGAAACCAAAGTTCTCCCCGCAGTCAATCTCTTCATCGACGATGAACCTTTTCCATATGTCGGAAAGAAAACGAGCAGCACCATCAATCTCCTGTATGCGCACGATGGATTGGTTCCACGCCAGGCCGCCACTTTTTTTGAACTCGCTCCGCTCCAGGAGGCAGCTGCAGTCCATGTAGTGGCAGTTTCCGAAACCGAGGAGGTTCTGTTCGAGCACGGCCTCCATGTGCTTCCCGTCCCCGCCAGAACCGATCTTGAACTTCATCTTGCCGCTGCGTATCCTCATGAAGGCCAACTTGAAGAAGGCAAGTTCCAATTTGAATACGTCCTCGTTATCGTGGTAAAGGTCTTCCAGGAACCGCGTAAGCTTGGCCTCTCACGCCGCGGGGTCAACGCCCGCGTCTGCGAGCGTGTCCTCTATCCAGTGGTAGGAGTAGGGAACTCTGAAGTAGCAGTTGTTGTCGGGGCTCTTCGGCGCCTCCTGCCAGTCCTCGTTCAGGTTAACGTCCTTGAGGGCAACGCCGCGCGAGCGAGGCTTCGGCGTAGAGCATTTCCTAGCGCGCAACTCGGTCAGGCTCACCTTGAAAGACCCAGCGTCGCAGGCCTTCTTCAGGGAGTTGAGCATGTCCGCGCACCGCAGCGACCAGTTCCCGCGCCAGACCTTGTGTCTGTGGCGACGCGGAGCGCGTCCGAATGCTCCTTGGCCACGGCGCGCAGGCTCTGCGCGGAGTCGCCATCGCGACTGAGGTGGCTGTGCAGGCGCGGCTTGATTGCCGCCCACGTCCATTCGGGCGGGCTCCATTCCTCAGGGGGCTCACCGTCGCCCTGCCAGGTGCCCAATTTGACGGGTAGCCCCTCCAGCGCTGTCAGCATGTCCCACGGCAGGATCTCCAAGTACTCTGTCTGATCCCACGCGCCATCGGTGTAGCGGAAGGTGTGTTTGTTGTGAGCTCTCCAGTGTTCCCCATCCAATACGAGCAAGATCACGAGCAGCTGCGCGTGGCTTATCTGGTAGGAAGACACGGTGGTGTCGCACAGGTCTGTCATGACCCGCAGCAGCTTCCTCCTGTCGCCGACGTGCGTGGGGCACTCCCTCGCGACGTCATCCTCCAAACTTTAGACTACGCCGAGTACATCGTCAGCAGGAGGTCGGGCAGCTGGTGCGCCAGCGGCGGCGGCCACGTGCCCACCTGCACGGGCAGCCGTCACCTGGAAGCGCGTTGCACCGAGACCCATGTTCTCGGCCAGTCCCCGTTTGGCTGTCGGTGGCACGCGGGCCCCGCGACCCTCGGCACTGCGGCGCTTGCCCACGGGGTCAGGTGCGGGGGTCGTCTCCTTGATGCGCATGTAGCTCTGGAAGAGGTCATAATGCTTGCGGCATTCATGACCCGCGCCGTCAAAGGTGGACCAGTGCCACGCAACGATCATGGGGTCGCCATCCCCTTCCTCTGTTCGAAATTCACGGTCTGGTGTCTGGTCTTCGTTATCGTAAACTCGTAAACGTGAAGTGCCCCACCGTTGTACTTGGCGAAATATTTCAAATCCGTGATGTTCGGATAGTTTTCTCGGCGGTCACCACCTTCTAAGCGGTTCGCAGTCTCGTCGTCACCGCGCCCCCTGGCAACGGCGACGATGCACGCCTTGATCTCGCGAGCGACGCGGGTATGGGTTATCTCCGACAGAGAGCTCCACGCGGCAGGCCCGAGTGCCGCAGCCGCCACGACGTGGTACAACCATACCCATCACTTGGGATTTTGCAAGGACCGTCTGTGATGAGTGCGGCGCACCGCTCGAACTCGGTCTCTGGGCCGAAGTCCACGCAGGAACTGTGGGGGTGCTGGTGGCTCGACACGCCCGCGGCGACGTTGTCGGACAGCCTGCTGCCGCCATGCCCATCGGCCGCGGCGGGCTTGCGCATCGGGGCCGCGGAGGGCTTACGCCTTGGGGCCGCGGGTGGCGAGGGGTCCAAGTCTTGCGTGTCGGGGGATCCGCCACCCCCAGTAGGCTGGTCCAGGTGGGGCGCGGCAGGTGTACCATCTGCCTCGTCGACCCTGTCACGTCCATCACTGCACCTGGCCTCGGGGTGCGGGCCGTCACCCGTAGCGTCGGTGACGCCATCTGATTGACTGGCGCCGCCCTTGACCGCACGACCGAACTTCCCGCGCTTCGGGCCCCTCGCAGCATCGACAGCTGGATAGCAGGTGTTGCAGACGCCCACCGCTATCATAGAGGTCTCGCCGCAGGACCTGCATGGCCACAGCCGAGGTGCCGCTGCTGCCGTCATGGGCCCACCCGTGTGCGGGATCAAGTGCGAGCTGACCATCTCGACCTCGCTCGAGCTGTCGCCCGCCATGGCGGTAGCGGCTTGTAGGACTGGGTGGACGAGAGTTCCGCAAGGGATGCAGTAGCGCTCTGGTGTTCACACTAGAGTTAACACAGCTGCGGGGCACGAGAGGGGTGGAGGATAAAGGAGGCGGAGCTGCCAGAGGTTGAGGTGTAACCCTAGTCTGCACTGTAAGCAGAAGTATGCGTGAGCACCTCCAGCTTTTCGATCTGCTTCCAGCCGCGGCTACGAGGGGGGGTGTAGCCTTTCACTTGAGCTGCCTTTCACTTGAGCTGCCTTTCAGTTGAGTCAGGGAGGGAGCGAGGGAGGGAGGGAGGGAGGGAGGAGGGAGGAGGGAGGGAGGGAGCGAGGAGGAGGAGGAGGAGGAGGTGGAGGAGGAGGAGGAGGAGGTGGAGTTAGGAAGAGATGGGAAAAGGAGGGAGGGGAGGAAGAGGAGGACATGGGAGCAGGGAGGAACGAGGAAGAAGGGGAGGCATGGATGACGAGGATGAGGAGCAAAGCGCAGAGGGACTTGCATGATGTGAGATTCCCTGGAACCTTGTGGGGCAGCCCTGAAGTCATGTGGTACCGTTTGGGCTCTCCCTCGGGGCATCTCCACAAGTTGCTCAGGTATGGCGCATCCCCCCCCCGTGACGGCCTTGCAAATGCCAAGAAATCGCGCTCGTGCTTGGCGCCGGCTATCCCCTCCGTGGGGGCTGTGGCGCCCAGACCCCTCCTGGAGCGCAGTTCGCCAACAGAATTGTAATAAAACGGATCGTTTGGGTCCGACCCCTCCTCCCTCCTCCCTCCTCCCTCCCGGAGCCAGAGCTGCGAGGATGTCAGGGGGCGAAACGGGCCGACGATGAGGACGACGAGGACGACCAGGACGACGAGGACGACGATCACGACGACGACGACGACGACGACGACGACGGTGAGCAGCCACGAAGGCGCTACCACGACAAGGACGACGACGACGACGTCGACGACGACGACGACGACGGTGAGCAGCCATGAGGGCGCTACCACGACGACGACGACAAAGATGACGACGACGACGACGACGGTGAGCAGCCACGAGGGCGCTACCACGACGAGGACGACAACGACAACGACGACGACGACGTCGACGACGACGACGGTGAGCAGCCACGAGGGCGCTACCACGACAAGGACGACGACGACGACGACGACGACGACGACGACGACGACGGTGAGCAGCCACGAGGGCGCTACCACGACGACGACGACAAAGATGACGACGACGACGGTGAGCAGCCACGAGGGCGCTACCACGTCCTGCGCGAGCAGTCCCGACGGGGCGGCAGCCGCTATCAGGGTGCTTCCAAACAGATGTGCACGGCGCCGAGACGAGAATATCATGTTTGAAAAGCATGTCCGCGACGCCAAGGCGAGAGCGCGCGAAAATGGAATGAACTGCTGAGGCACGTGCCCTAGACCGCCACCCCAGAATCCCCCGCCCTCCTCGGCCCAGGGGTCGACGGAATTCAGTTCGTTGTCCCTAGCGCAAGTTTGAGGCAAGGGGGAGTGCGCCTGCTCCAGTTAGGTGTGTGTATATATATGTGTGTATATATGTGTATGTAGGTGTATATATATATATATATATATATATATATATCTATGCCGATATATATACATATTTACATATATATATATGTATATATATATGGTCACGCTGGAACATGTGCTTCGCATTGTTTCGTCATAGTTTTGGTTTTTGGTTTTCGTTGCTGACTGCACATGCCCCATCAGCCTATACAGAAACGGTTCCTAGTCGACCTGCCTTGGCCAGGGACGTGTACTCGGAGCCACCTCGAAGTTGCCCAAACCCATCAGAAACGAAAGGCGAGAAGGCCAACATTAACATTGGCACACCACCGATGTTGACCGGGTCTTGGCCTCTCTGGGGCGTCTCTGGGAGGCTCTATGGCGCCACTCAGGGCCATCTTTGGGCCGTGTTGTGGCCTCTAGAGGCACTTTGCTGGCTCACTTTGAGCCATTTTAGGCTCTCTTGTGCCTTCTTGGAGACCACCTTGGGTCATGTAAGGCCCTCTCGGAGCCATCTTGGGCCCAAAAGGACCCCCTTGACACTTCGCGAGACCATGGTTCCGACCCGACGGGAGGTGGTAGGGGGAGGTCCCAAAGGGAAGGCCACAAGCTGTCTTGCTCACTCCCACCCGCCCCCTAACTATGTAAGTGCCACCCGAGACGCAGCCTAGGCAGAGGTCGCCATCGGATAGTCTTCGATTGGGAGCCAATTCCGACGGCGCAGTGCGACACTCGCGAGGTGCGCCAAACATGCCCAGTGCGTGGTGCGCATTAGGTTCTCCAGGCACCTGCTCCAGCTGCGCCAGGTGCAGGAATAGCACAGAGTGCGCCATGCGCGCCAGTGCACGTGGTGACACATCGGGCAACATATCGCCCCCGTGGGCATCTGTATCAACAAACCACTGAAACATTTTTTTCCCCCAGGGATGACGGGGCAGCTCACAAGCGGGCAGATATGCTCCCCCCGCCATCCTTTGCAAACGCCAATGCAAAGTGCTCGCGGCGGTCCCGCTCACGATCTAGATTTTGCCACCACGCCCACTTTGTACTGTTTCTTGCCAGGGATGCCGGGAAGGCGGCGCTCATAGTTCCTGGTTGGCGGCCGCTCGAATGGGGAAGTGAGCGTCTATTGATAGAGCAACGGTAACCCCCTCCCCGAAGGGGACGAATGGAGTTACAAGCCTGGTGATCCAGCAAGGGGGCCTGATACGTGATGCGAGTAGGATCTATGCTTGATACGCCCATGGTTCCGCTACCCTGTACCTTTTGACCCCATGTCGGAGGTGCCGATTACCCCTTTTAGTGGCCATGGGCCTTCTCCATCGAAGCGCAATCAGTCGGCAGTTTGGGAGAACCCCCACCAGGATGACCGCAGGGTCCTTCAGGGAAGTCTGGTCCGATGTGACGGCGAGATTCACTTGGCCCCCGTGTTCGATGGTATCCGTCGTAGCGACTTTAGCAGCTTTTCGAGCTGACATTAAAGCTCTGGTGGGGCCGTCCATCTGACGATGTTAACGCGTAGATGGCCGTTGTCAGATTACCACGGCCTCTTTGGTCAGTGGGCTTTCGTCGATGAGGGTTGTGCACGTCTGCGCTCGAATTGTGTGTTTTCAACTGGATCGGAATAGGGGTCTGCCCGCAGCCTGCTCATCGGGCAGCCTCCGCTGGGATGTCGGCTTCTGTGACGTCGCTTGTGGCGGAGGGGCTTGGGTAGGTGCTGAAGAAGGGTAACACAGCTCTGTGGCAGGGGTGCGAGTTTCAGTCGAGAGTGGAACATTAAGCTTGATGAGGGACACGGGGGTCTCGCCAGCAGCTGGAGAAGCAGGACTACGTACCAAAACGTAAGAAGTTGAGTTGGCCGCTCTGGTGGAGATTACGGGGGCCGTCATGCATTCGGGTGTGCGGTTTTGTCTTGGCAACTCAAACGTTTCTTTGTGGTCATTGCTGTAATCGTACGTACCGCCGCCGGCGCTGTCGTCGCCGCCGTGTCTCTCCTCGTCCGCGGCCTCATCGGTTGAGTTTCTTTCCATGCAGACGGCCTCGTGGTTGTTGCGTTTTTGCATGATGACTCGGCGCGTTAATTGACCGTGCCGAGGACAGGTTGAGCAATCGATTAGCAACGCGTTTTGCAGCCGATCCTGCGCTCGGGGCAGAACCCTTGATTGATCGAGCGGAGGCATATCACTGCATAGCCTCATCCCTCATCCCCCCTCCGTCTCTCTCTCCCTCCCTCCCTCCCCCCCCAGAAGGGTGAGGGAGAGAGGGACGGAGGGAGGATGGAGGATGTGGGGGGGAGGGTCTCTACTTGCCCCTCGCTGCCTTCTGCTCCCTCCCCCCCTCCTCCGCCGCATGCTCACCCCCTGGCGCCACCTCCTGCTTCTGCGCCACACTCCTGCGCCGCCCTGCTCCTCCGCCGTCCTGCTGCTGCCCCCTGCTGCGGCCGCTGGTGCTGCTTGCCCCCCGCTGCCGCTGCAGGGGAGGGCGCGGGCCGCGTCCTCGCCGACCTGGGCACGCCCCCTCCCCCCCGACTCCCGCCGGCCGGCCTCTCTTCGCCAGCTGTTCCCTGGGCGGCCTCCGAGGTGAGGCAGGCGGCATCCTCTTCAGAAGGAGGCGGATGTGGGAGATCGGGAGGAGGAGGAGGAGGAGGAGGAGGAGGAGGAGGAGGAGGATGGGGATCCTCGAGAGGAAGAGGAGGATGATGAGGGGGAATAATAGATAGCACGACGACGAGGGGAAGCATGGATAGGAGGAGGAGGAGGTGGAAGGATGCAGAAGGAGGATGTGGAGTAGGAGAGGATGCAGAAGGAGGAGGAGGAGGAGGAGGAGGAGAAGGAGGAGGAGGAGGATGATGATGAGGAGGAGGAGGAGGCGGAGGACCAGCGTAAACCCAAAAGTCATCAACGATGTTGGACAAAAAACCCTCCCTTCAAGCTCCCCTTCCATAGGCCCCTACAACGGTTCATATCCACTGGGGGAACTGCCTTGTTGGAAGACAACCCTTTGAAGACCCTGAAGCATGCCAAAGCATTGCTCTCTGGATTCCAATGCCACGGAACAACCTGACTGTTGCGTCTTCACGATCCGGAATCGTGCCAACACGCCATCCCTGGGACTTCAACACCGCGAATCAACGTAGCTGTGGCGCCCTCGAATTCCTGAGTCCTTCCGAAACATAATTTTGGGTACGTTGATCATGCGAATACATGCGGTAGACGATTGCAATTTTTGCAAACGAATCTGCGCGGCGCTAGAGTGAGAGCCGCATTTTGGAAACGACCCGCCCTCAATCCGTGAAACTCTTGCACATGCTTAAATCGATGTACGCGGCGCCAAGGCGAGAGCCACATTTTGAAAACGACCCGACCTCAATCCGTGAAGCTCTTATAATTTGAAACGAATGTGCGCGACGCTAATTCGAGAACCACATTTTGAAAACGACCCGCCCTCAATCCGTGAAGCTG